AGGCCGAGCGTAATATTTAAATAAAATGTGATTCATTATGAAAAACTCAATTTGAGATAATTTGTTTCATTTATTTACAAGTCAATCCATATATGATTACCGTAAATGAGAAATATGCAATGTATGTAAATGAGAAAATGCGAAAATATTTCCCTGATGAAAAGCAACTAGAAAATATTAATATCGATATGCAGACCATAATATATATATATATATATGGTGCTTTGTAACTGTCCCATCGGCCGAGCTCCTCCTCCAGCTTTTGGTTTTGCGTATTGATGTCTTCTCAAAAAAATGGAAGACTTGTAGGCTATGCAAAGTCCACCCCAGACGGCTAATATTTTTTTATTAGGAGCTTTCATTTCATATCAGAAATCCACTCTGAGAGGTTGGTTTTTGGATGTTGGTACGACACCAGGATTTAAGCCCCAGCCTTCCTAATGGTAGTAAGTAATGTTGATCATCCGGCTAGCACGACGATAAAGTAGACCACAATGATAAGTTGATAAAAACGAAAGCCATTAGTCAATGAAAAAATAAGAGAAAACCTTATCCTTGTCTCTATCCTTCTTCATTCCTTGCTCCAGCAAATAATTTATGATATTTTTGAATTTTTTATGTTGTTTTCCTGTTAGGAAGTCGGCGACAGGGATATAAATTAAAGGAGAAACTTTTAAATTGCAAATAGATGACCTATGTCTTAAGTCTACGCTGAAGCCAAACGCAGCGTCTGTTCACCAGTGGTACGGCTATGGGTTGGCGTAGGTCTCGAAGCAAGAGTTTAGCTGGACATGTTTATGTACTCAGTTTATGTCATGCAACTGAAATATCCGCTTCATTAATTTCGATGATATCTACGATCAAAAGTAAGGCTAACATCAGCACCATCCAAAAAACGCAATAGGAGTGATAAGGACCTAGAGAGGATCGTGATTTTAATGCCAGAGTGTACAAAGATGATACTTTTGGTGAAAAGGACGAAACATGCAGTCTCCACGGCGATACATCTCTTACTGGGCTATAGTTGATTGATCTAATAACAGACGTTATTGATTCATTGTTAGAAGGAATCCTCTTCTGCCTACTTAATTGCTGTAAAAATGATACTCTCGAAGATGACGACCCCGAAAACCCAATCGATGACGATTGAATAGATATTCCATCACCCGATTATAATGAAACTGATAGGAGTCAATGGCTTACTTACTAGCTAAGCTATACAAGCAAGCTTTGTTGTTGGATAGAGTTTTAGCTTTCATATTGCGTGAAAGTTTAAAGCCCATTGTCAACGAACTGACTGGACAGAGATACAGAGACAACAGATCTATTTTCTCTAGATTAGACAAAGGATTTAAGGAAGTGGGTCTGGTTGTTAATAGGTGCAAGCCTAAATATCTCCTGTCATCAACCAAGCAGTCAACGCGCTCCCGTCTCAGTTGAAAGTCATAACTTTGAAGTTGGATTTGATTGCATCTACCTAGGGTAGTCAGCCTTTAAATCCTAGACTGTATCACTTTTGCCAAGGTACTCTCTTGGCGATCAAAGGCCGAACTGTATAAGCCCTTCATCATTCCCAACTTACCGCATGGTGCAGAAGAGTGGACCTTGATAGCATCTGATGAGCCGTCTTCGAAAGAAAGATTTCGCGGGAGATGTATGGTCCTCTTACTAGAAACAACTGCGACTATGATCGTAGTTGATGCTGAAACCGGTTGTAGAAACAGATGATTATTGCACTTTTGTTTCTACGAAAATACCTTGGAAAGCTATCGGAACTTGAACGAGGTGCTAGTTATGTCGCATGGTAGCCCAAACTGTAGTAAGTGGTGACAGTTTAACTCACAGGATCTACTGCTCATAAATATTGTATTTGCAAGTACCATTGCTGAGGAGTCAAAACCTATTTTCCGGTGAAAGAGTATATGTTTGAGAATTGATTCTTATAAAAATCCATTAGCCATTCGAAAAATACTTAAAATCTGAACAAGAATGTACTTGAAACGGGAAAGATGGAAATCCTCTTTTATTATGACATTTTATTAAAATATTTTCAAAAATTCTCTTACTGCATATAAATTTAATTTTAATCTACATTTATGAATGCAGCTTTGTATATGCAGAGAAACCGTCATATCATTTGAGAATTCTTTTTTAATTACCGCAATGATATTCCTTCACACATTTCGCAACTAATTAATTTCAATTTCAATTTTAATTTCTTTTTTTTTCTGTATGTTTGTTTGTTTTATATTATATTTGCAAAACACTCCGGACTCATTTGCAGGTGGCAGAGCATCGCGTACTAAAGCGTATTAAGCATAATTAATATGCAAAGCAGGTGTGCAGCGTGCGCTCATAAATACAAACAGGAAAGTAGTTATGTATTCCTCGTAAGGTGGCGCAGGGCAGCGATAGGGGAGAGCAAAAACATATGCATATTTATGCGCGTACGCACCTCAATCAATCAACAGCCAAATTAAGGCCAAAGCTAATGTGCAGGCTTTAATTAAATTATGCTGGAAAAGAACAACACACACCAACAATAGGAACACTAATAAAAACACCAAAAGCAACAAACGGTCAGACGAAAACTAAAAATAACAATGAATCTGTTAAAGAAAACAACAAAATCGCGAATGAAATTAACTGTCGTTCGCGCGGGTGTTGGTGTGCATTTGTGCGTGTGTAATTAATTTCAATTACGTAGATTGTAGAAGTTATTGGGATTTTGATATTTTAAATAATTTTTCACACATACACACACACACACACACACACACACACACACACACACACACACACATATATATATATATACATGTTTATGCGAAATGTTTGCATATTCGTTGACAAATTGTGGTTTTGCATTTAATTCAATTTATTTTTGTTTTGCCAGTCAATTGCGTCACACAATAATTAACACATATTTGTAGGCGCATAATTTAGTTGGCTTGCCAGCCCGGCTGAGGCAGAGCCGACAGTTTTATTATAATTTTTGTATGCTTATAATTTTCGTAAAACTAATTCACGCGAGTTGACATTTGTGGTACATTTGACAATTAGCTGCTGCGTGACCAGCTGGCCTTTCACACCCGTACAAACACACAGATACACGTGTACGTTTGCCACTCTTGTTTACACTATAACGGCTAAGCGATTTACAAATATTAGCATTGCTGATTGCTGCCGCCTGAGTTGGCAAAGCTGCTCGCGGGTTCATTGCGGACGAGCAATAATAATGTCAATAAATTAGGTAAATTTGTCAAAGAATTTGCAAAAATTAATAATAATCAGAAATTATATGCTTTTGTGCAATAATTAGCTGTTAAAATATATATTTTATTTGTCTGTATATATTTTATTGCTGTCAATAATTTAATGTTTTTTTTATTATTATCATTTTTTTTTAGTATAGAAAATAGAAAACGATTAAAACTTTGCATTTTCTGACATAATTATTGCGGCTTTTAAAATATTTATTGCCATGGAAATATTTTGACAAAACTAATAATATTTAATTTAGTTGGTGTGACAAAAAATGTTTTATTTTTGATCATTATTATTAGAGTTGTCCTTGGTAATACCATTAAATTAAGAATCGCTTAAATTTTTTATTACTATTTAATATGAACGGTATTATAACAGTATATTCTTTTTGAAAAATGAAAAATAGTCGATAAAGAAAATAATAAAGAAATGAATGATGAAATAAAAAAGGAAATAAATAAATAAGGAAATGAATAAAGAAATAAAAATATAATTAAAATAGGTAAATAAATAAATGCAGTAAATAAAAAAGTAAATAAAAAAAAAATAAATAATAAAAAATGTAAATAAATTAATAAATAAAAATAAATAAGAAAATAAATAAAAATCAATGAATAAATAAATATATATAGAAAAAATAAATAGATTCATAGAAAAATAAATAAATAATAAGTAATTAAATAAATAATTAAATGAGTAGATAAAAAATATGTAAGTAAATATGTAAATAATTACATAATTAAATAAGTAAATAAATAGCTAAATGAATAAATAAATAAATAAATAATTCAATAAATGAATAAATAAATATATAATTAAGGAAGTAAGGAAATAAACAAAAAAAAAATAGTCAAAAATAAACAAATATGTTAATAGATAAGAAAGTTTGAAAATAAATATGTAAATAAATAAATGAAAAAAAAAATAAAAAAAATAGTATTTATAAATAAATAAATAAAAAATAAAAAAGTAAACAAATAAAAAGAAAGTAGATAAGTAAATATATATAAGTATAAGCTAACGTTAATCAACACCAAAAGTTCCGCAAGGATCGGGAAGGACCTCTCCGAGCCGTTCGATACGAAACGAGGTTTCAGACAAGGTGATTCCTTATCGTGTAATATTTTTAATTTAATTTTTGCTGAAAGAAATAATACGAGTTGCAGAACTGAGTAGAGAAGATACAATTTTCTATAAAAGTAGGCAACTGCTGGCCTATGTTGACAATATTTCATTGCATTGGCCTTAATAACCGTGCTGTGAGTTCTCTTTTCTCCCGACTAAGGATAAGGAATCGAAGGATATGGGTTTAGTCTTGCTTATTTGGACGAGAGCAAGGCGAAATATCCGCTGTCCTCGAACAAACAGTCACACTCTTGACAACAGGTGCTACTTTGGAGTGAGGAGGCAATTGAAAAGTTAAGTCCTCTTTCGGCGAACGAAGACCTAACTCGGCGGCGTTAGGACTCTTCGAGGGAAAGGTTATGCGTTAGATGAAAAGTCCTCTATGAGTTGGTACCGGCAAATATCGCAGCCGATTGAAAATTGCCCCTTGATACTTTACGAAATTTAATACTAATTAACATACTTATTACTGGCTTACTTAAATGCACTAAGATTCCCTTATGTGATGTACTAAAATAATATATACAATACTATATAAAAAAGAAATTTACTTTCGGTACTATTACAAATTTTTAAACAAAATAAAAATTTATTTATTAACTACTGACCTTCGGCGATGGCACCACCGAAAAAGTGTTCATAATTCTATCGGGGTACTCTTCACGTATCTTTGAAATGAGCAGTGTACCCAGACCTGAACCGGTTCCACCACCTAGTGAATGTGCTAGTTGGAAGCCTTGCAGACAATCACAACCTTCGGATTCTTTACGTAAGACATCCAACACAGAGTCAATGAGCTCAGCGCCCTCTGTGTAATGACCTTTTGCCCAGTTATTGCCTGCAAATGAGAAAGAACGAACACTTATATTATTATATGTACACATTTTTTTTCAAAGAATGGTCTATTTTGCTTACTAATTTATAATAAAAATTAACTCAGTTGAAATTTAAGTAAATTTAGTTGTTTAAAACAAACTGAAACCACATATTTTAATATTTTGGATTTTATAATTTCCGATTTAAATTTTGTACGCAAAAAAGTTGTTTTTTAGTAGTTTACTTACCCGCTCCTGATTGCCCAAATACGAAATTATCTGGCCTGAATAGCATACCCATTGGTGATTGGCGTACAGCATCCATTGTGCCTGGCTCCAAGTCGATGAGTACAGCTCGTGGTACATACTTACCACTGCTGGCCTCATTGTAGTACACATCGATGCGCTCCAATTGCAAATCATTCTCACCAACGTACATGCCATTCGGGTCGATGCCATGCTCATCGGATATTATTTCCCAGAACTGTAAAGAAAAATTGGAATTTATGAAATGAAAATATGTTGGCAAATATTAAAAAAAAATCACTAACAAATAAAAGAAATAATCATAATTTATGAACATTTTGTCATCAGTATCCGTATAAATGTTAGAAAAAATTCAAATGACTTATTCCTTCAAGTAGTTAATAATCTTATAATGCAAGAAAATTAAAAATATAATAATTCTGTTAGGTTCTACACTCCCTCAAAACTTCTAAGATATCGTACAAAGTTCTTATTCAAAGTGATTATGTAACTGCGTAAGCCATTTTTTAAAATCAAACACTGTTAACCGCGTAAAATTTATATCATCGGTATACGCCAGTAGATATGCACTCTTCAAGAAGTTTGTATTTTGTTTAATCGAATTGAAGAAATCACACGACAAAGAATCATTCTCTCCGAAAATTCATTTGGAGAGATCCTATCCAGTTCTAGCTGCGCTTCTGGTGTCGGCCAGCGTCAGTTTATACACCCGTATAAGTTTTGCGGAGATACCAAATACAGACATAGGGGCGTAGAGACTGTGCTGTCAAAGGCTGCTTTAAAATTGGATTTTCCAAGATTTGATTTTGGCATGGCGAATACCTGGTCAATGATTGATTTACCAGCCTAATCCACACCGATAAGGTCCAGTCAGTTTGATAAAACCTTAAATGTGGTATTTAGAAATTTAAAAGGCGTTCCCACGGTATTGGCGCAGACTGTGTGGTACTCTTTTTATAGGTTGATGGATTGCAAGGAGCACACCTAAATTCCAATCGCCGGGTATGCTTTCGTCCCACCATATTCTGCAAAGTAGCTGATGCATGCACCTTGTCAGCTCTTTACAGCTTTGTTTGAATAGCTCTGTCGGTAGGCCGTCAGGTCCAGCTACCTTGTTGATTTTTAAGTGGACAGTTGCTATTCGAACCCCGTCATTAGTTGTATAGTAGAAGGCCTTTCCAACAACATCGATTGGAATTTCCGGTTCACCATTTCCTAGTATTTCATTTTCACCGCAATTTCGCAGGCTCCAAAAGTGTTCCCTCATTAATTTAGTATACTCTTGGTATTAGTGACTAGATCACCTCTCTGGGTCCTACAAGTCGCCAAGTCAGTAGAAGTCAGCTTCTTAAGCTCTTCATACTCACGTACTTCGGCTCTTTTCTTTTGTTGTCTGCAAATGTGTATTGCTTCCCTTTTCAACTTTCAGTATCTGTCCCACCCCACTCGTGTTGTAGTTGATCGCAAGGTTGCGAGGCAGGTCATTTTCTCTCCAGTGCGTGTGTTCGATATTTCTCATAGTACCTGCTGTTTTTGTGACCTTTTCTAAAGTCAATAGTTTCGTTTGAAATTCCGTCTTGCTACCAGATAGTGGCCCTAGTCAATGTTGGGTCCTCGGAGTGTCTTTTTTTTTATCACAGCATGGTCAGTCCAGTTTTAAGTTTTCCGATCAGGGGACAGTCAAGTAGCTTGATGCATTTTGTACAGAAATCAAGTACTAGAGAAAACTTTATTTCGGGCTCCAGCGAAGTCGATCTGCCTCAACTCATTGGGGAATGACAGTTGTGCCGAACCCACCCTGGCGTTGAAGTCCATTTTTCATATCGTGGCGAGGCCAGCGCACATATGTATACTACAGGAGCTCATAAAAGGCATCCTTGATCCCATCGTCCGTCTCTTCCATCGGAGCATGGGCTCAAATCAGCGCCAAAAAATTAAAAACAATTTTCTTATTCCACATCACAGAAACCAAAAATTTCTCAAATAGAGCATACGAAGAATTTCTATTATTTTTTTATTATATATTTATTTATATTATATGAAACAAAAAATTATAAATAGTCTAATTAAATATAATATAGATTTTCTTAACGGAGAACGGTGCAACTTCTTCGAGATACGAGTTCTAAATAGACACAAAAACAATATATCGTACAAAGTTATGCAAAGGAGTTAACGATTTATTAGTTATATCTTCATTTTAATATTGAGAAAAAATAAATGAAAAATTCGTTTGAATAATTGCGCAAAGTTAGAATGAAACAAAAACGATCAAAATATTTAATTATGCATTTTTTTTGTAATATTCTACCTATTTCCAGAAGAAATATATTTTTTTAACCCGTTAAATTAACATATGTAAAGTGCACTCTGGCATGCTGTGTGGCAAGTTGTTTCTTTTTTTTCCAGAAACAAACACACATTCGTATGCCAGTATAAATTCACGCTATAAAATATGTTAAATTCTAAAATCGGAAAAAATCTTGTTGAAATTTCAGAAATTCGACACATACATAGATATATGCACTTATTTTTGATGCCAAGCGAAAATATTCGAAATCATATATGCACTTTGGCGATTTAAACACACCTTCACATACACATACAAACAGCAGCCGTATGCTGGCATGCCTTACAATGCAAATACAAGCGTAATTCAATCGCTGCTATACTATTTTACCAGCTTACCAAGAGAAAAGCGGGGAAAAAACACATAAAAATGCAAAACATTTGGAATAATTATTTCTCGCTGTAGAAATTCATATCCTTGCAAAAATTTTATTTTTAAAAAGAGATTCCAATGCTGCGGGCATTCATTACCATTTCCAAGTAACAAACGCTACAGTGGAATAAAAAAAATGATACGCTGCAAATATTACCAGCAAGCATAGGGAACAGCGCGAAATTCTCATACAGATCAATGAATTTTAAAAAATTTCATTTTTCCACGAATAAATAGAAGAGAATGCCAGTGGGTTGCACGGAGCGAATTACAAATATCATCGATAGAAGGTCTGCAACTTGAATTCTCGAGCAATTTTGCTTTCAGCATTTATATTTCATTAGGTGCTCGAATACACCGATTCTCTCCGCCTCACATACCCACATATGTTTATCCGCTTAAAGTTATACATTTATAGTGGTTGTCCTGCTGCCGACACCTTATGGTTCTTACCTTCATATGTGTTTTTTACACTTTGTCATTGGCTGAAATGGAATTCACGTCCGAAAATTCTTTCCCTCCATTTGCGCGATAAATTTGTGTATACCCCAACGTCTGTCTGTTCGCAGGGTACATTACGTTTCTTTAACTAACGGTTAAATGTAATATATTTCCTGGAATGACGAAGCAAGTCGATGTAACTATTTACTACAATGCAAATTAAGACGATTGGGCTAAAACTAAGTTGATATTCCAACAAATTTGCTAAAATAGAGTTGAATTCAATTTTTCATATGTTTTCTTTCTCAAAAATGATAGCCGAAAATGTAGAAAACCTAAAGTATCCTGAAGTTGAACCTTCCTTATTTGGTTTCTGGTTGTAGCTGTACGAAATTTATGCATCATCGTTATTCGAAATTGAATTTCATTTTGCTATTGCATATTTTGGTATTTTTCATTTGTTTTCCAATCTGTTTTTTTTTACCTTTATTTGCAGGTATGAAATGTTAAGTATGTTTGTATTTATGAAACTCCTATTTCGATATTTGCTATCTGTGAATATTTTTGTACAAAAATGGGCTTATGAGCAAGTGTCCTTCATTAATGCTCGGCCTTTTTGTGTCGCGTTTAGTTTGATTTAAAATGCAATTTTGAAGTCCGTACAAACGAGTATATTGAAGTGTATTTTCTGGTATATACGTCTGCCTAGAAATCCCATGCAGATTACTTTTGCCAATAGGTGATACTTTGGGTTGAGTAGGCAATTGAAAAGTAGGGTCCTCTCTCGACGGACTTAAACCAAATTCTACAAGTCACTCATCACTCCCTTCCGATTGTTTGGTGCCAGTCCGATGAGTCGCGAATTGGGCGAAAAGTTTTGCGAACGTTTTATGGCTCTTTGCGCATTGGCAACAGGGAATACCGCAGACGTTTCAACGATGAGCTAGAAAGAGGCTTAAGAAGATGGCCGATAGGTTAATGCTCGAAAATACTACCAAAAGATATGGCGACTTACGGAACGCTTCAATACCGGAGAAAACACTCATAGGTCTCACAGAGGTGGTCTAGTAATTGGTACCCAGAGCTCGACGTATGCCAGTGAAAATGCAAAGCCTAAAGATACCGGACAACAACAAAGCGGATTACCAGCTGAGTTACTCATACATGTCGGTCAAGGGCTAACAAGGGGCATACATCAGCTTGCTCGACGATATGAAACTTAATGTGCTTTGCTCAATATATGAACAGGCTATCCTACAGTATGCCTCAACTACCATGGGGTTAGCATATAAGCTGCTATCGAGTGTATTGTGTGAAATGCTAAGGCCACCGTAACTGATTGGAATTTATCAGTGTGACTTCAGACCTGGAAAATCAATCATTGACCAGATTTTCGCCATACACCAAATTTTTCAAAACACCAGAGAAAGGGGATCGACACACAACCGCGCCGATAGTTTTGCTTTTACAGGATTTGATAAAAAAAGTGATAGAAGTGAAGCGTCACTGTTCACAGACATAAATCCGAGGTCATATATAATTTCGTCTATCTAGGGACCAACACTAACACCAAAAGCAATGCCAACCTTGAAATCTAACGTAGAATTTCTCATGCCAACAGGTGCTACTTAAGACTAAGTAGGAAATTGAAAAGTAAAACCCAAAAACCAAACACTACAACTTTCTCATCATCTCCGTGCTGTTTTATGTTGCTTAGCCGTGGATGACGACAATATTTGCTGAGTCGGTGTTAGGAGACTTCGAGAGAAAAGTTTTGCTAGGTCATGTCGTATGAAGGGTTTAAAGCACTCCAGCTTTGAAAGTATTCGATGCAGCACCCTCTGGTGGAAGCAGGGGAAGAGCAATACCTCCACTCCGTTGGAAGGACCAAGTGGAGAGCGACCTGCAATATTGTTGACTTGGCTATAAATGCGTGAGCGGTGTCTTGCCCGTAAAGAAAACCACGTTAAATTATTTTGCAACTGCATGTAGGTATGTGGCAGAATATAAAATATCTAGATTTAGCTTCAAAACTTCAAGTTCCTGGTTTAAAT